TGTCAGTAACCCCCAGCAGATCGACTTATACTTTTTTCTTTTTTTTTTTTCCTTTTCAATAATTCATCTATGAAAAATACGGCAGCAGATCCTGTCGAGTCGCTTTTATCCATCAATCAAGAGGCAATTTTCATAATGTGTGTTACCATAGCACCTGCAGCCCGTGCGGCGCTGCTTCTTCTGGGTGGCTGATGCTGGTTCCCCAGCCCAGGTAAGCAATCAAGGGCTTCCTCTAAGGGATTCAGGGAGAAGGCGAGGGAGTGTGCGTGTGGGAGGGGGCAGGGGTGGGGGAATCCCCGCCTGATTAGCAGGATGATGGGTTGACAGCATAGAAGCCATGAACGACTCCACCCCCTCACTCTGAAGATGAAGAAACAGTTTCTAAAATAGCAGAGCGGTCGTGTGAACCCAGCTTGAGAGCAGAGCCCACTCTGAAAAGTTTTAACTCAATAAAGCCTGCCATCCAATGATAGGCTTCACCCTGACAGCGCCTCGGAGTTTCTCCCTTATTAATTTCTCAAATGTTGCTTCAGCAACGTGTCAGTTTTCTTCTCTAACAGGAAAGCCAGGAGAGATCTCCAAGCACAGAGTTTTCCCTTCGTCTTCCTTCGTCTCCTAAGACAGAAACAGAACTTAACATCTGAGGACGCCCTTCTCTCCTCTAGCTCTGTGGTCAGAACATTTGATCTTGACCTTCAGTAACAGCCTCAGTGAAAGACACCACGGCAGTGGACATGCATTCTCAGATATTTCATTGCTTTTTTAAATAAGCTACCAGCTTGCTAAGGATGACTGAAAACTAGGAATTTAAGACATTCCCATGTAGGACATGGGTAAGTTACGTGCCTCTTAAGAAATGATGCATTAAAGATGGCATCTAGTAACTTTTCAAAATTTTAAATAACTCCCCGATTAAAGGATTTTTAGATATTTAAAACAACTTAAAGAAATCTTGTCTGCTCTGAGCCCTCTAACTGGCTCCCTGATCCCAAGGGCTGAGATGCACTTTTTTTTTTTGGACAGAGGACAGAAATTCTAAGCATCAGTATATATCCAGTAAAAGCCTGTGTGAGAGGGACCACTGGAATCCTGCAATCCCACATCTCTGAAAGACTGGATGCAGTGGACACTGGGGAGAAGACATCATCACACCACTGGTCCGACACTACAGAGAAGCGGCTTGAACACAGTGGACCCTCCCTAGACCGCATCTGGCCAGCGAGCCTTTTGCAGTCACGTGCTCACTGGGTACTTTTTTGAGCTTGACTTTTAGAGGGAATCACTTTCCTTCCGGAAGCCTCTGAACTGGATGTATTGGATCCATATTAGTAGGAAGATCATGCGATTAATTATAGTGAATCTGAAGGAAACGCTATTCCTTCAACTTCTGGTGATAAATTATTTTCCAGCCTATAGAATGGAAACAAAACCATTTATTAATCTTTTTAAAGAAGAGGAATTACTGGAGACAAGGCGAAGACCAGCCTACTTGGTGAAGTCCTTTCAATGGAACTGAGATTTGTTGTTGTCATTCACCCACCTTATTGAGAAAGAACTGGAACCCGCCTGTGAGCCTGCCTCCCGGGGTTGGGGACAGGGCGGTCTCGGGTTATATGCGGCCGACTGGAGAATGAGGAAAAAGACTCCCATTACTGGACTAGCTTGAGCCTAATTCTGCCTGAGCACAGAAGACGCTTTATTCAAAATGCATAAAGGTGGGTGAGATGATTCTGCTTTCACTCCAAATTTACCTAAAAGGTGAATTCTTTGTATCTTCGTATCTATCTGTAAGAGATTATGTGACAAACTTTGGGATCACATTTATATGCAAAATACATGCAAAAGTCTCTTTATGTATTATATATGTGTATAAAGAGACTTTATATGCAAAAGCCTTAGTAGTTTCCTTACCAATGCGAGCGGCCACTGGGCTCCGGGGTGGGGTCTTCCTGGTGGGCCCTGAGAGCGCCCTTCTACCCAGAAGGAGACATTCTGAGGGCCCCAGTGTCTGGGACCCTGGTCAGTAGGGACGTAGAAGCAAGTGGTTCTCATCAGCAGAAATCTGTGTCTTGTTCAGGCCCAGCAACAAAGAACTGGACCATAAAGGAGGCTGAGCACTGAAGAATTGATGCTTTTGAACTGTGGTGCTGGAGAAGACTCTTGAGAGTCCCTTGGACAGCGAGGAGATCAAACCAGTCCGCCCTAAAGGAGATCAACCCTGAATATTGATGGTGAAGCTCCAGTACTTTGGCCACCTGGTGGAAAGAGCCAGCTCACTGGAAAAGACCCTGATGTTAGGAGATAGAAAGGACAGGGAAGCCTGGCATGCTGCAGGCCATGGTAAAGAGTCAGACATGACTTAGCGACTGAACAACAAATAAGCAACAAAACTCGAGGGGCCTCTGTGATGCAAAGTGGAAAAGGATAACTGCCAGTGATCCGGACACATAAGAATTCTTCCAGGAGGCCAGGGTCACAGCTTAGAAAAGATCAATCTGAAAGTTAGTACATTTTCATCCAAAAAATGTTACAGGACTTGGGGGCAAAATGCCTTCAAAATTTTATTCTATACATTTTTGAGAAGTAAGGAAAAAAAAAAACAAACAAGCTGAACTGACAGTGGGGAAAGAAGAGGCTGGTTCCCAAAGATTCAGTGATGAGATTCTCCCAGGAACCTCCTAAAGTTGGGGACATTTTCCCCGGACCTGAGGAACGACAGCTCTCTCTTTCCCTGTCTGTGTTCCTTGGTGATGCAGACGAAACATCTGACTTCCAAAAACTCAAAGCTAATTAAAAAATATAAGACAGAGTTTCTGCACACGTTGTGCAGAAAGAGATTAAATTCGACGTGAAGCTTTCTAATGGCCTTAGAAGTACGCGAGGAACACTGAAGCCCGGGTTTCAGATTCATACCGACAGAGAAGGGGCCAGGAAGCACGGGACAGAGACAGGCGCCTGCCCCTTGGCCTGAGGCTGCTGTTGGCACTGAGAAGCTGGTCAGGCTGCTGACCTTCTGGAGGGAAAAAGCTACGTGTGTGTGCATGAACAAGAGTGCCACCTCCACATGGAATTCCAGACGTTTCTCAGAAGTCTTAAAATCACGGACACCTCATTGGCGCCAAAGTCAAGAGATGAAGGCTTTATCTTGATGACCATTTGTTGAAAATGTTGTATAGAAATCAAATGACTGAATAGCCTGTGACTGGTGAACTCTGGCTACGATTCAACGGAAGGAGGTGTTACCATCTTTCTCTGTTTCCCCGTCCCTTTCGTTCTTGGTCCTCCCAGCAGAGAGGAGCTGTGTGAAAAGGGATCTCAGCACCAAACAAGTGGCGCGACATAAACAACCAGCCAATCCCCTCACATTCCTCGGGTACCGCGTCACCGACCCTCGGGTACCGGGTCGGCGACCCGCGGGTGCCGCATCCCTGACGCATCTCACGCTCCCCGCCCCGTCGGGAATCCTCGAGCCAGACGCGCCTGGGGGCTGCTTCGCTCCCTAGTTCACTACTGAGAAGACGGCGGCTCAGAGGGGATGCAGCGTAGAGACAGAAGGAAAGCCCGCCTCTCTTCACCTCCGTCCAGATGATTTTCCCACAGGTCTGGGCAGCATAGCCGTCCTCCCGTGGGTAGGCGGGTCCTCAGGGCAGAGCCTCGCTGGACCGTCTCTTGAAAGCTCATCACAACAGCGCGGCTAGAGGACGGGCATGGAGCAAAATGCTCGAGAAAGAATCCGGGAAAGTCTCCCTTATCAGAACTTGAAAACTCAATGCCGCAACTCCAGCCGTCCAGTTACGAGGACATCGCGGAGCGCTTTTTGAGAGGAAACGGATCGACAGCTCTGACGGTTAACTCCCGGCGACTGAGTGGATCGTACTCACCCGTCTGCTCAACATTTATCTTAAAAAGCAACCTCCTCTTCTCCTTTACATCTTATTCTATGCCTAAATTGTGTCAAGCTTATAAATATCCAGAAACTGAACGCTGCTACTGGTGTTCTGCCCAGTCTGAGTCATTTGATGAAAGAAGAAAACATCATCAATGGGAAATACGAGATAAAATGCTCCTAGTCTTTAGTATTTGATTCTTATGTACACACACACACACACGTAACTTAAATGAGCATTTCTTTATATTCTTGGTATATAAACACACACACACACACACTTATTTAAGTATATACTTGGGCTTCCCTGGTAGCTCAGATAGTGAAGAATCTGTCTGCACTGCAGAAGACACAGGTTCAATCCCTGAATTGGAAAGATCCCCTGGAGGAGGAAATGGCAACCCACTTCAGTATTCTTGCTCGGAGAATCCCATGGACAGAGGAGCCTTGTGGGCTACAGTCCATGGGGTCGGTAAGAGTTGGACCCAGCTGAGCAACTTTCACAAGTATATACTTAAATACTTATACTTATTTAAGCTAAGTAAATAAGCATTTATTTATTATCACCTTTTTTGGTCAGAAAATTTCACAGGCTCTAGGGGCAAAATGACTTCAGAATTTATTCTGCACATTTGTGAGAAGAAAGAAAAAGAACAGAAGTGCAACTGATTGTTGGGGAAAGAAGAAATGGATTCCCAAATATTCAGTGATGGCATTCTGACCTCAACTGATTGCTGGTTTGAAGAAGAAATGTAATTTTACTGGCCTTCTCTCCTCATCTGTTCTCAGGTTAATACAGAGATATGGCAGGTGGAACCCAACCATCTCTAAGTCAAATTGGAACAAATCTAATGTTGGCTGATATGTTGCCAGGTTACCCTTTTACGAACATAATGATGGTGGTCACAGACAGACAAGACAGCGCGTAGCATTTCCGAGTGAGTTTCGGGTCCCTTGGGGGTGGGGGTGGGGTCTGTGAAGGAAAGCATGAAACAGTCCTGGCCGAACCTTCAGGGCTTCGTGGGTAGGAATAGGAGACCCCCAGGCAAACAAGCCCCAGGTGCCAAGGCGAGCCCACCGCCTGGGCTGGGTGCCCGCCTGCCCAGCGCCCTACCCGTGCAGATGAAGCTGGAGAGGCCCCCGTAGACGACTTCGTCGTTGTCGGGCAGTATGAACGGACACCGCGTCTGCACCTCCAAACAGTATTGCTTGCAAGGGATCGTCTTTCTGCAGTTCAGCTGCGCGACTTCAAAGTACTGGGAACATAGCCAGGCTTTGTAGACAATCTGAAAAAGAGAAGAATCAGAAATAGGGTGGGATGACAACAGTTCTGACCAACGGAGGACATGCTGTCCTGGGAGAAGCATGCTGGGGCCTCGAGCGGCTCCTAAGAGGTCGCGCCCTTGGAGAAAGCCTATGACATGAGGCCAGCTGCAGGCGATGTCTTAGCAGCAGCGAAAGACTTTAGGGAGCCCTTTGGGGGACGCGACAGGTGATGGGGGCCTTCGAGTGTCAGGGGTGCGCGTGCTAAGCCGCTACAGTCGTGTCCGACTCTTTGCGGCCCCGTGGACTGTAGCCCCCCAGGCTCCTCTGTCCATGGGATTCTCCAGGCAGGAACACTGGAGAGGGTTGCCCTGCCCTCCTCCCGGGGATCTTCCCAACCCAGGGATCCTACCCACATCTTACGTCTCCTGCATTGGCAGGCGGGTTCTTTACCACTAGCGCCACGTGGGAAGCCCCAACTCAAGTAAAAAACTGTGAAGTTGAGCAGGATCTGAAGTTTTCAAAATCCAGTGAGAAACAAGAAAGGAAACACCCGTGTGGATCCACTGGGGTTATTACTGCAGGTGCGAGGTGCTGGGCCCGGCAGCTGTTCAGGCCCTTGGTCGCGTCTGACTCTTCGACCCCAAGGACTGCGGCACGCCAGGCCTCCCTGTCCATCACCAACTCCCTGGAGTCTGCCCAAGTTCATGTCCATTGCATTGGTGATGCCATTTCTTTTACATGGGGAAATTTTGTTTTTATAACAGGACACACACAAAAAATGTTCTGTTTTGTTTGTAAAAAGGTGATGCTTTTTTGAATTGTGGTGTTGGAGAAGACTCGAGAGTCCCTTGGACTGCAAGGAGATTCAACCAGTCCACCCTAAAGGAAATCGGTCCTGAATATTCATTGGAAGGACTGATGCTGAAGCTGAAACTCCAGTACACTGGCCACCTGATGCAAAAAGCTGACTCACTGGAAAAGACCCTGATGCTGGGAAAGAAGGCGGGAGGAGAAGGGGACGACAGAGGATGAGATGGTCGGATGGCATCACCGACTCAATGGGCATGAGTCTGAGTAAACTCCAGGAGTTGGTGATGGACACGGAGGCCTAGCGTTTTGCAGTCCATGGGGTCGCAGAGAGTCGGAGCCACTGAACTGAACTAAACTGATGCTTTTCTGTATAAAAGGACAAGAGCCCGGCAGACGCCAGCTATTCCCGCCATAGGCACTAGGTGGCGCTGAGTCCCCGGCAACCAGGATGTGCTGGTTTGAGCTTGAACTCCAAGGCCCTGGGCGGACAGCGGTGGGCTCTCCGTCCGAAAGCCAGGAAACACCCAGCCTAAATCACATGGCTTACATTCCTGCCGTGATGAGGAGCACGAGTTAGGACCGCTCCTGAGATCTGGGACCTTCAGCCTCTGTGATCAGCACGAATATCTGATAAGCATTTGCTTAACTTAGCAACATGTGAAAGAGCTATGATCTCATCTAACCCTCTGTCTTTGATAGGTATTTCAGAAAACAAATGCTGAAAAAAAAAAAAACAGGCTTTTCTGTAATATAAGGGAACCAACTGAACCTAGGTCTCAATAAAACGATGACAAAGTGAGTATCCCACCATAGCCACGGCTGTGACTCAGGTACTTCCCTGATGTTTGGTTCTATTCTTCTGTTTTTAGGGTTAATACTATTCAGGTAAGATTTTGTTACCTATGTCCTACCTGGAAAAGTGGGTGGTTTGCCGTTAAATGTACACTGAGAGATCACAAACACCGAACCATAATAGCAAGAATAATAGGAAGTGTGTATCACACTCTGGTCTAAGCAACTGACATACATTTTTTTCCCACATCTAATTCTCAGCACATGCATTAGCACAGGGATAATAATCAGCAATAGGAATAAGTGGACAACCCAGAATCCAAACAGAATCTAGGTAACTCTCTTGCCAATATCCTGTAAGGAGGAATCGTGTCAGGAAAAGGAGAGAAAAATAAATGGCTCTGAGACACTTTCCAATGCTCCCCTTTAAGAATTTTTTGAGGGACGGGCATTGAGAAAGTTAGGTGTTTTGTGGTGGCACAAAACCAGAGAAACAAAACAACCCTGAATATTCATTGGAAGGACTGATGCTGAAGCTGAAGATCCAACACTTTGGCCTCCTGATGCGAAGAACCGACTCATTGGAAAAGACCCTGATTCTGGGAGGGATTGGGGGCAGGAGAAGGGGACGACAGAGGATGAGATGGTGGGATGGCATCACCGACTCAATGGACATGAGTTTGAGTAAACTCCAGGATAGGTGATGGACAGGGAGGCCTGGTGTGCTGCAGTCCTTGGGGTTGCAAAAAGTCGGAAGGGACTCAGTGCCTGAACAACAGGCGGATTTTCAGACAGAAGCCCATGATGAAAAATGAATACTCTTGTCTTCCTTCATAAGAACGCCACAGTATGAGGAAGGCCAGAAATCTTTTTTGTAATGGCTTCGCCTTCTCCTACAGAGTGACATACTGGATCATCACTTTTCTTGGTGTCACTGAAGAGTGTAAATGGTTCTAGGATGCTAAAGAATAATTTGGGGAAGGAACAAAAATAGAGGAAAGGTCTTCTGGTGATAAACGGGCGGTTAAACTACTTTTAACCCCCTTCTCCTGGAGGGTTTGTACGTCCTGTCTCCCCGGAAGCAGTTTCGTTGCTAGGTAACTATGCTCCCGGAGGACAGGCCCCCCCCCCCTCCCGCCGCACGCTCCCCACCTTGGAAATCTCGACTGAGTGTACCACTTGGCCTGACAGCGCCCGTCCTGCAGGCAACAGGAAATATGCTCCAGTTAGTCCAGAAAAGGAACAGACAAACTAGACTGCTAAAGTGGCCTGTGTAAGAAGGACATTTGCACTTACACAGTTGCATACCAGTTTTCTTTTTTTCCTCCCAGAGCATTTTCTCATTTGTTATTTTCCCCCATGAAACCCTTGAGACAGTTTTGGGAAATATTGTACAAATAAAGAACCCAATTACAGAGAGATTATCCTAGCAACTGCATGGAGTTCAGCCCAGCACTCCCTTCCCGGGCCCCAGGGCAGCTGGGGCGCTGCTGAGAAGTGGAAAGTGAAGATGACAGGCAGGGGCTGGGTCTCTGGAGTCCCCGAGGGGAGGAGGGCAGTTTAGGGGGGAAAGGTCCTATGGAACGCCCAGCTGAGCCCCTCATTTTCAAGTGAGAAGAGGGGCTGGGAAAGATCACAGTTGATGGCAACCCCCCAATCTCTGCCCTCCTGGGCGGTGTTCTAATAACTCAGCACATTATTGGGGGAGGCATCCACTGATCCAGTCAAAACCTGTTTTGTTTTTCTTTTGTTGCAAGTCACTTCATCCCAGACCCGCACTTTCTTATCGTCCCTTGAAACTCTGCGCTGTGGGCTGTAATGAGCACCCCTGCCCACCCCCCACCTCTGGCTGATCCCCGGGTCTTCTCTGTACCAGCATCACTTTATACATCCCCTCGGTTACTGGGGCCTATTGGATGGTGCGAGGTGGGGTGGGGACCCCAGGGAACTGTGGTCTACTCGACTCTTACACCAGACTCTTGATGAATTTACTGATTATTTTTTAAAAGATGATTCTCAGTTTTCATAAAAAGTTCTGGCTGTAACTGGCTGGAGGCAGAACATGGTTGGGAGGAAATCCCCGGAGATGGCTGAGTCAAGAGGCCTCTGTTCCCCGATGGTGGGAAGTGAGGTTAAGCCGCGGACTCTGGGAGGGGGCGCTTTATGTGGGTAGCGGGAGGAGCCTGAAACATCCACCATTCTGCTCACCAACTCTTGTATCACGGCTTTCAGCCTCGTCCTTAGACGTGATGTCAACGCGCGCCAGGTCCTGATTCTGGGAGGTCCCAGCGACCTGGGCTCATCTCCTGGAGCGCCTGTCACAAAACGCCCAAGACTCGGATTTTTCCCCATGGGCCTTAGAGTCTCACTTAAGTATACTTGTCTCGGTCCTCCTAAATTTATATCCATGTTTTAGAGCAAGGGAACCAATTTATATTGCAAATACATGTTAGCAGGCTGAAAAAAAACAATGCCGGTTACAGTTTTTCCTTATGAAGAAAAATGTCAGGTATTGAAAGGGGTCATCCTCGTCACCTTAGAGGAAGGCCGCTTTCTCCCCCTTCCCGTGGGCGTTGCTAAGGGCTGGCCGCTTTCTCCCCCTTCCCGTGAGCGTTGCTAAGGGCTGGCTCTTTCTCCATGGGGACCTTGTGTTGGTGCATTTTATGAGCTCCTTTGCCGTCAGCTCTCATGTGTGAGGGGCCTGTGTTGTAAGCGTGCAGGGCGGGTGCGGGGGGGTGGGGGGGAATAATTGGCTATGCAAGCAATAGTCTGCCACGGTGACGGCCTCCGGCTAATGCACTTTGATGCACCAGGCATGTTGTTACAATTCTAAGTGGAGGAGGAAGTCAGATACATCTTCACGTTCACATATCTGAACGTCTTTCGTCTAAATCTGTGTCAGTGTCTGGCTAAAGCACAGGCTGAACCCAGAAACTGGGAAGACTGCTGTGCTTTAAGAGGAAAACAAAAAAACAAACCCTGCCTGCAGGTCGAGCCAAGTCCTCCTCCTCTGAGATTGCTTAGAGACGGGCAGCCTAAGGAGACAGGCTCCTTGATCCGCCGGAGATTCAGAGTGTCAACGAGCACACCTCGTCCTGCCGGATCTTGGCTCCATCTCTGAAATAAAATGCAAATGCCTCCCTGTTTTCTCTCGGTGACCCACTTTGCGGATCCTGTTATGACACTTGGTCTAATCCCCTGAACTTCAGAACGACAGCCCTTGCTTCCCGGCACCGTCCTAGGTTTGAGAGCCCGCCCCGTCTGTTCTCGCCCCCGCCCAGAGCCCTGGGCGCTGGGCCTTCAGGGGAGAGCATGGGTAAGGGATGAAAAGGCAGAGCCGGCCTGGCCCGTCTGCCCATCAAGGGTGGTACCTGGAGGCCCACAGACCCTCAACGGGCAGTGATGACAAGAGGCGAAT